CATAGTACATGATAAGAAGTGAAGACACAACTATTTCTTGACAATTTTTTTTATCTTATTAGGTTACATATATGTGTGTATGTATATATGTATGTATATATATAATCAAAACCAAACTCACTGCCATTGAGTCACATCTGACTCATAGAGACCCCTCCTTGGGTTTACTAGCTCTGGTAGCATAGTGCCTAAGGCACTTGACTGCTAACCAGAAGGCTGGCAGTTCAAATCCACCAGCCACTCCTCGGAAGGAAGGTTGGGCAATCCTACTTCCGTAGTGATACTGCCTCGGAAACCCAAGGAGGGGTCGCTATAAGTCAGGGCCGACTCGACGGCAAATAACAACAACAACAACATCACTACTGAAGTAGATTGCCCAATCTTCCTTCCAAGGAGTGACTGGTGGGTTTGATGCCTCATCTTTTTTCCATGGAACAGCTGGTGGGTTTGAACCAACAACCTTTAAGTTTGCAGCCAAATGCCTTAAATACTACACCTCTCTCTCTCTCTCTCTCTCTCTCTCTCTCTCTCCCTCGTTCTCTCTGACTCTGTCTATCTGTCTCTCTCTATATATGTATAGGGAGCTCTTGTGGCATAATGCCTAAGGCATTTGACTGCTAACCAGAAGGCTGGCAGTTCAAACCCACCAGCCACTCCTCAGAAGGAAGGTTGGGCAATCTACTTCCATAGTGATACTGCCTTGGAAACCCAAGAAGGAGTTTCTATGAGTCAGATCCGACTCAATGGCAATGAGATTGGTTTGTTTTTTTGGATGGAGTGTGTGAATAAACCTCAAAACCTGAAACATTTGGCATAACTAAATAGGCTGACACATCCAGATTAGACTCCACTTTACTTTAGACTCCATTTTCCTGTAGCTTTATTTCTGCTTATAATCCAAAATTGGATTACTGTAAAACTTTATCTGACTTTGGTGATGAGTGTAGGGGTCAGGGATATTCCAAGAAACCTACTGCTCACTCCCTTGCTTGCAAAATCTATTCTTAAAATGAATGCTTAGTCCAGGGCCCTTTTAAAACTAATTTTGTAAAATACTTATTCATCTGGTCCCAAAGATGTTTTCAGATTAAAAAAAATACATAATTTTAAACATTTATGGCCTTTCAATGGAAACTTCTGGAGTCACGATAACCTTGTGACTGATTACGTAAAGCTCTGTAAGCTCTGTTGTTGTAAATGTCAACACACTAACAAATTTACCAGAAAGTTCTTCATTTCACTGTATATAATAAGACTCACTGTGATCCTGCCACTCACAACACTTAGCTTTACTTTGTGAATGAGTGTTTCCTGGTTGGACTGTTTATTCCTCTATAAACCTTTCGTTTTATTCCAACAGAATTCTCACTCTTTTCTCCTCTACAAATTTTATGGTGTCAGAATTGATGGATTTGAAGATACATTACTTGCAGTGACCCTCAAAGACTCAAGGATCCAGATCCTCATTCTAAATGAGTCATTTTGTGCTCTCTACTCCATGAACACTAAGGATTCACTAAAAAAAACAAACCAAACTCAGTGCCTTTTAGTCAATTTTGACTCATAGCGACTCCTCCAAGGTAGTATCACTACGGAAATAGATTGTCTAACCTTCTTTCCAAGGACTGGCTGTTGTATTTGAACCACCAGCCTTCTGGTTAGCAGTCAAATGCCTTAGGCACTATGCCACCAGAGCTCCTGAGACCTAAGGAGTCACTATCAGGTAAATAATCTCTCCATGTGAGGTGTGGTTTACTTTATTAATAGGCTCATTGAGCTTTATTGTGAATCTGTTTTGTTTTTACAAGATTGTTTTAAAATGCTGTATCAATTTATTTGGTCATAGCTTGTTGTTGTTGTTGTTTTGCCATCGAGTCATCCCCGACTCATAGAGACCCCTCCTTGGGTTTCTGAGGCAGTATCACTACAGAAGTAGGATTGCCCAACCTTCCTTCCGAGGAGTAGGGGCCTCAAAACCCATAAACTGCAAAGCCTGTAGGCACAAGACAAATGCTTTAAAAGCCTCTAGGGCACTCAACAGGAGCTCTGGTGGCATAGTATCTAAGGCATTTGACTGCTAACTGGAAGGCAGGCGGTTCAAACCCACCAGCCACTCTTCAGAAGGAAGATTGGCCAATCTACTTCCGTAGAGACACCGCCTCAGAAATCTGAGGAGGAGTGGCTATGAGTCAGAGCTGACTCAATGGCAGTGAATTTGGTTTGCTTTTTTTTTTAGGGCACTCAACATAATCCAAAAGAATCCTGTGACAGGATAAACTGATATAGAAGAGGAGCCAGAAGCACTACAATAAGAGTCTTCTGGTCCAAGGTCACTTCTCTGAACCAGGTACATATTAGTTAGAACAAAACATAGCCCAAAACCCTATAGCATGACCTTTATCAAGAATTTAATTAGACTTTGAGGTACTGGCTCCTTTGACCTACAGTTCTTTCCTGCCCTAAGAAACATGGGGAATGCATTATCCAAAAACAATTCAGAGTTTCCCTCTGAGACTCCTGACCTCTACATGAACAAACACTACATTTTTACCACATGCTTGTTCTTGCTTATTTGCCATATACTTACCAGAGTCTGCAAATAGGTGGCAACTTTAAGGTTCTTTTGTTTAATCTAAATTACCTTTCCTTCACAGTAAATTTGAAAAGAAAGGTTCTCAAATTAAACAATCTCAGTAGAAGGTCTACTTTGACTGGTACCTAAAAGCTTCTAAGAAACATCAAGGTAGCAAAATTGCTTCCCTGCAGAATATTGTTCCTAAGTTAACTAAACAAATTAAGGACCTGCAATGCCAATATTTTGTTCCATCTATTCCTGCTGCTGTAATGCCACTTGTCCTCTTGTTGATTAACTTTCCCATGGTGGCACTTACAAGGAAAGACTAATATGAATATTAATGGAGAAATTTGACAACTTTCAGTTGATATTGGAGCCATCTTCTCTTGCTTAAACTCCACATATTTGCAAAAATCTCTATTGAAGTATAAAAACATCAAGAATAATGGGGCCACTAATCAAGAACAAACAATAATCCAATCTCAACCTGTTCCAGTGTACTTTGGGCACATTAAAGAGTTATACCCTTTAATACTTAGTTTTGATATCCTTATCATTTTGTTAGATGGAAACATTTTATCCAAATGTAATTGCTATTTACAATTCACAGAAAAGGGGGAAATATTATTAAACTTACATGATATCCAAAAAACCCTTAATTAGGAACTTAAATCAGGTTTATTTCAAAGGGAAGAAACTGCTTGCTCTTTGTAAGCATTGGTTATGCAGAAAAATGACTGAATCCCCTCTAACCACTTCATTGTCCTTCAGCAGTGCCTAAAACCTTATGGTCACTACATCTACCAATGTGAGGTGGGTCTTATCAGCAGAACTCATCAAAATTCAAGTAGACATATCTAAACTCTTGCCAAAAATTCCCTGATATTCCCTTAAACAAGAACCTAAAAAGGACTGTTGTGTTGTTGTTAAGTGCCGTCAAGTCATCTCCGACTAATAGCGACCCCTCTTGGGTTTCTGAGGCAGTATCACTGCAGAAGTAGATTGTCCAACCTTCCTTCTGAGGAACAGCTGGTGGGTTTGAACCACCAGCCTTCTGGTTAGCAGTCAAATGCATTAGACACTATGCCACCAGAACTCCTTAGCTCCAATTACTCAGCACTTTCATTTAAAGGCTCAATTGTTCCTTGCACCAGGCCTGTAAAACCCCTGTGTTTCCTGTTAAGAAACAATAGAGACTGGAGATACATTTAGGATTTGTGGTTTATGAACCACATTGTCATTCCTAGATACCCAGTAGTCCCAAACCCTTCCTTGCTGCTTTCCAGTGTTCTTGTAGATGCTACTCATTTTAGTGCAATTGATATTTGTAACACCTCCTTTATGTTCCTGTACATCCTAGGAGACAATATTTATTTTCCTTTACTTAGATGAATAAGCAATTTACTTGAATGATAATACCTTACAGTTTCTGTGAGTCTCCTACTTGTCTTTCTAAAATATTCCAGGATGACTTACAACTTTTGCAATTTAAGAATGAATCTAAATTGTTACAATATATTGATTACCTAGTCATATGCTCAAACTCCCAGTGAGCCACCATTGATGACAGTATAATTTTGTTAAAATATCTGCCCACTGAGGGACATAAAGTTTCTAAAGAAAAACTACCATCGTCTCAAACTTCGGTTAAATAATATGCAACATAATTTCTGTGGAAGGTATTTCTATTCCACCCCAAATGAGAGGAGGCTTGATCAAAAAGAGGGGCTGTATAAGAAAATCCTAAAACATGAAGGATTTGCCATAACTAAATTGGTTGACGTAGGTTGGGATTAGACACCATTTTACTTTGATCTTATTTCTGCTTTTTATCCACAGCTGGACCCTTGTAAAAGTTTATCTGCCCTTAGCAAATGAGGGTAGTGGTAATGAATAAGATTGAGGTATTCTAGGAAACCTGCTACACATTCCTTTCCTTTCAAAACTTGTTCTCAGAGAGAATACTTACTCAAGCACCTGCAAAACTATTTTGCAATCCTTTCCTCTATGCTGGCCCTAAAATGTCTGCAGATTAAAAAAACACATTATTTAGAAATACTGTCTTTCAACTGAAACCTCTGCAGTCTCATGATAACCTTGTTACTGATTGCATAAAGCTCTGCAAATGTCAGCCAACTTAAAATTATACCTATGAGTCCTCCTTTCACTGTACATAAGCCTTGCTGTCATCCTGGCACCTCAGAACACTTAGCTTCACTTTGTGAATGAGTGTTTCCTGGTTCAAACTGTTTATTCCCCAGTAAATCTCCTTGTTTTATTTTGATAGAACTCTGACATTTTTCTCTACTACAACAAGGACCATGGCGTAAAATAAACATCACATTCTCCATAGACATCAACAAAATTTATAAGCCACTTATTGAGAACTTCTTTGTACTTAAGGGGAAAGGAGACTTTTACTCACCTATAGTAGGATCATGATAATCAGGGAACTGATGACTAATGAACTGCATTGTCATTGCTGAAACACACAAAAAAGGAAAGAAATTCAATTTAATAAAAATTCACCAATTCGTCAATTAGTTATTCACCAAGATAACTCATCAATCTTTTAATAGCTTGCATGAATAATGTACGTTTGTGAGTGACTTTTTTAAATTACACAATAACCACAAAATAATAATAAATCAGACAAAATTCTAGAGAAGAAAAACATGTCAAATATGCCAGATTCTTCTCTAGAATAAATATATTCAAATTATGAATATATTTTGATAAAAATTACATTGGAGTAAAAAGAATGTAAACTAGGTGCAGGATGCCTCTTGGCTAGCTCTGTATTGGCTGGGAAGACCTACTCACTTATTTTTATTATTATTATTTAAAAAAGAGTTGCTGTAGAGTCAATTCTGACAGATGGGACCTCCGTGGTTGTTGAGTAGGATTGCATTGCAGGGTTTTCAAATGCTGATTTTTCAGAAGTAGATCCCCAGGTCCCTCTTCTTAGGTGCCTCCAGGTAGACTCTAACTTCGCGCCTTTAAGTTAGTAATAGAATGAATTAACCACTTGCACTATCCAAACAGAACTAAACAAAAATGTTGCTTTAGTGTTGATTCTGAATCATGATGACCCTATGTGTTACAGAGAAGAACTGCTTTACAGGGTATTTTAGGTAATCTTAATGGAAACAAATCACCAGGCCTTTCTTCCATGGGATATCTGTTGTTGTTGTTATGTGCCGTCGAGTCAGACCCAACTCATAGCTACCCCTCCTTGGGTTTCCAAGGTGGTATCACTAAGGAAGTAGATTGCCCAACCTTCCTTCCGAGGAGTGGCTGGGGGGTTTGAACTGCCAGCCTTCTGGTTAGCAGGCAAGTGCCTTAGCCACTATGCTACCAGAGCTCTTATGCGATATCTAGGTGAGTTCAAACCACCAACCTTTATGTTATCAGTTGAAAGCAAACTATTTGCACCACCCAGGGATCTATAAATTCTCTGAGACTTAGTTCCTATTTTTAAAATGAGGAGATAATATCTGAGGTCCCTAGTAGCTATAAAAATATGTGATTATATGCATTTTTTAAAAATTATTTAACTTTTCCTATTTTAAGTCATTTTAATCACTTTTATTTTGTCTAACCCATATTATTTATAATCTTTTAAAAATTTTTTCATTACTTTTTTTTTCCTGTATCTCCTTAATTTTTGACATTCTTTTCAGATTGATGGTTTTGCAAAACACATGCAGTGTTCTTACTGCACAGTTTCCTCAAGTGACTTTCCATTTTTAGGCGACAAAGGGAAATCTGAAGGTGTAAACTTGGATAGAAGAAAAATATTAGTACATTATAGTTCTTCTTCTCTTCCTTTATTCTGCAGGTGTGTGTGTATGCACACGTTTTAACAAATAATCAGACAGTGAAAAATTCAGTTAAATACAACTTGTACAAGGCAGTAGCAAAACAATTAAAACACATACAGAGGGTTAATATAACCCTGCCGAGAATTGCAGAAATGGGATCTGATGCAGTGGAAAAGAATTTCTGTTCACACTTTAACAGTTGTTTGCCTCTTGCCTTGGCATCAACAAAGGAAATTTTCATGTAAAAGTGCTATTCTGTTTGACAGGTTAGGGCAAATTTTTGAAATGAAAAATCAGCATTCTTTTGCAAATAGCCTTAGCAAATTGAATATTATAGGTTGAAAGAAATCAGAAGGAACTTGTTTATTAAATGAATATCAAGGATAACCAAAACAATTGAAAAATACTTTTCTGAGCTTTAAAATGGAAGTTACCTCATATCTGTTATCTCTTAATCCTGAGGTGGCTTTCTCTCAAGCAGAACACAAAAATCAGAGGCTTAGCCTCATATTGAGCAGTTGGCTCAGCTGGCCACCTACCTCAATGTCAAAGCTACTCAGATTCAGCACATTTAAAACTAAAGTAAGGATTCCACTCCATCCCCCTCAAAACACCCAACTCCATTCAAAACAAACACATATACACCTATTCCCTAATGTGAGTAAAAACCTTGCCGTTCATCTTATAATGAAGTATTTACACTGAAATCTTGAAGATATTTTTGAAGCTTCCCTCTGTCAAGTCAGTCTCCATGGGTTTTCAATTTTACCTCCAAAATCTTTTGAATCTAATTCCATTATTTTTGATATTACTCTAGTTCAGATTTTTATATGTCTCTTGCAAATGTCTACTGCAATGGAGTCAAAACTTCTTGCTCTGTAACTCTTGCTTTTCCTTCCACTAGGACTTTCATAATGGTACCGGAATCATCATTTGGAAAAAAAAAAAAAAAAATCATGTCTCTCAGATGTTAGCAACTATTAGAATACAGGCTATGCATAGTCCTTAATGAAATATGCTAGCATACATGTTTTTTTAGAAACAAGCACCATCTTATTTTTTCAATATCAATTGCCACCACTGCCCAAACAGCTGTTCTGTTTTCAGATTCACAGAGGTATTTTCCATTCATGAACATGCCTTTATCCCTATGGCTTCAAGTGGTTCTCCCCTTTTCCTCCATTTTGATAGCATGCTGTCTTAGTTTCCTAGAGCTGCTGTAACAGAGGGAGCTCTGGTAGCATAGTGGCTAAGGCACTTGACTGCTAACTAGAAGGCTGGCGGTTCAAACCCACTGGCCACTCCTCAGAAGGAAGATGGGGCAATCTATTTCAGTAGTGATACTGCCTCGGAAACCCAAGGAGGGGTCATATGAGTCGGGTCCGACTCGATGGCACATAACAACAACAGCTGTAACAGAAATATTACAAGTAGGTGGCTTTAAAGGATAGCTTTCCTGATAGCTCAGGATGCTAGATATGAAAATTCAAGGCACCAGTGCTGGGGGAAGATTTTCTCTATCTGTCAGCTCTGATGGAATGTCCTTTTCTCTTTCATCATCTGAAACCTCTGTATCTGTAGCCTTGGCATCTGTAGTCCTAACTTTCCTTGGTTTTATGGTGATCCTCACAGGCATCTACCTCTAACCTTGTGGTAAAGTGAATTACTTGGTATGGCTTTACTAGCAATAGTCTTTGTAATTCTCACTAGATTATTGGGTAGACCATGCAAATAAGGCACCTACAACTCTGATTTTGGGATTGGTTAGTTTTGTCACTCTGTTAGGCTTAAAAAATGAGCCTTCCTAGAGGAACAAAGGGGAATATCTCAGCTTTCAAGAGAGAAGAGCTGGAGGTGATGTAGGGTGTATTCTTGGACCCAAAATCCCTGGATTGGACCTCCTTGGCAGAGACACCCAGCAGAGAGAGATGCCCAACTAAGAGAGATTTCCACTTGAGAGAAACACTCAACTGAGAGACAGTCTCAGAGGAAGCAAGAGTCAGGAGACAGAGCAGTGGGTTTCAGGCCCATGGAGCAAGAAATCTCTGTGCCCTTTGTCAGGAGTCTTCCTGGTGGAGGGGGTACACATAGATGAACCTATCAGCAGAGCTAAAAGAGCTTTGTAACACTTGCCTGAGGAAGACAGGGGCCTAGCTATGAGACCAAGGGCCAGAGAGGTGTGTCTGAGGACATAGCAGAAGGGAGACTCTCCTGATTGAAGAATTGTATCCTGAGCATGTTCCTGAACCTGAATTGTAACCCGTTACTTCCCTAATAAGTCCCATAATTGTGAGTATTGTCTGTGAGTTCTGTGTGGCCATTGCAATGAATTTTTGAAACCAGCAGAGAAGTAGTGAGTGCTGTGGGAGGGAAGGCTGGTATCAGAATTAGTAAAATGGTTGAGGGTGGTAGTGTGTCTGGCCTCATAGGAATAAATTTTGGGCTGTAGAAGGTGATTCTGTCTTTCTCTTGTGAAGTTAAGGGAGGTCAGAAGATGCTGGCCCCATGCCCTTTTTGAAATTTGCCTGCTTATTTCTGTGCTTGATCTGCTCTCTTAATATTTCAAAAGTGATTAGGTTTAAGACACCCTACAATGAGATGGCCTAATTAGCATACCCAGGTCAACTCTATTCTCTTTTGGCAATATAGACATTAAAGTCCAACACATTTTTGAGAAAATAATTCAATTCATACCACTTATTAATAGTGAAACATATACCTACTCACTGCCATTGAGTCAATTCCAACTTATTGTGACAATACAGGACAGAGTAAAACTGTCCATAGGGTTTCCAAGGCTGTAAATCTTTATGGAAGCAGACTGCCTTACCTTTCCCCCACAGCATAGCTGGAGACCAGAGTGGTTGGTCAAACCACCGACATTTTGGTTAGCAGCCTTTCACCAGCATAGCTCCTTACTGATCCATACATATATTCTCAAATGTTATACTATTTACTCAATGTATTTAAACTCTTCATATACTAGGTGCCAGTACATAGTAATTATGAATGATAGTAAGAAGTGTTACACAATATAGAGCATAATTATGGGCTAGGTTAAGTACCATGGATTTAGGAAATAATTTTGAAGGTGGAAGAAATTTGGAATAAATTTAAGAAAAAGATAAGTAAGCATTTTAAGACATGATAGATACATTTGGATATTAAACTTAGAATCATACAGCCAGTACCAGACATAAATGAATCAGCCAACAATTTACCTGTTACAATTATTTATAAGAATGCCTAGCCTATATTTAGATTATAGTTTGTTCTTTAATGAAAACCTGCTGCTTTTTGTATAATTGAAAAAATCCCTTCAATTATCAAGTCATCTGACCTACCACCGCGACAGAAACAAAGAAAAGGGAGCCAGCTGAGCTTTGTTCCAGAACTTCAAAATATAATTTTAGAAAGATTGGTTTGTCAAAGTTTCTTTTGGGTTTTACAGAGTGGGTGCCCAAAGAGGCATCATATAATATGTAAGACATGAGGTAATATATAAAAGAAATAACCAAAATCCTTCTTAAATACCTATAGAGTTTGATGTTGAAGATAAACAATCTGACAAATACATATCAATCAGCCTGGTGGCAAAATGTTATTTGTTGTATGAAGTGCAAGTCTCCATCCTCAAAAATGTGATATTCTCTTGTCC